TGCTAAGGTGCTTATGTCCAAGGTGATAATATGGAATAGTGGTTAAGAGAACGGTCTTCAGACTTGCCGATCAGCACTGATTTTAGGTGTTTACTTACCTCTCTAAAGGACTGTTTACTCCATAAGGAGGGATAATAATAGATATACCTCATATGGCTATTTTAAGTCTAAATACAGTAATCCATATAAAATGCCAGTAAACAGTCGAATACTAGCTACTATATTCTTTTTGCTTTGATTTCTCTTGGAGTGGAATGTAAGGGTAGTCTTCTGCTTTTAAAGGGGAGGAAAGATTAATCCAGGCTGTGCCGAGCCTGACACCCCTTTTCTTTCCAGCAATTCATTTGTGATCCTGTTAGCAGCTCACTGGGGAGAAGTCGTTCTCTGGGCTGTCTCTGTAACTGTGCTGCAGCCTGTGGGCTTCAGACGAGCCGTAGCATCCAGGCCTTACTGTCCTGCGTTTGTTGTGCTGACTGGGAGCAGCTTCTCCACCTACTTCTCTAGATGCAAAAACTTGAATTGCCAGCATCAGTAAACTTAATTCCTGCCTTCAAGGGATTTACAGTCATTTGAGGATATTTACAGATGTATTTAGTAAACCTAGGCCTATATTATTAAAAATTACCTTAGAGAGAAGAGGATTTTACTACTTTAAACTCTTGGTTGAATAAGGTGGAGAATAAAATAAATGAACAAATAAACATTACTGATGACATAGAATGAGTAGAAATTAAGCAAGGCAAGTCTTTGGAGAAGATGCTTTTTTTCTGTAGTTAAAAAAAGGCAGGCCTAACATGGAGGACTGGTAAGGAAGTATATGCTGAAGAAAACAGCAGGGATGGGAATGGGATGGCAGCAGCAGGATAAAATAAGGTACGGCTGAGACATTTTTATGTGCTCAGGAAATACTCATTAAGCACCTACTGTGTGTAGGCACAGTGCAGCTGCTGCCGATATGATGATAACCAAAATCAGGTGTGGTCCCTGCCCCACGTAGGTTTGCTTACCTTCTAGTGGGAGAGAGAGACAATGATTTCAAAAGATAGTTTTTTTAAAAGAGCTAAGAGAAATGGACAGCCAGGCAAGATACAGTTACAGTGGGCGGAGGAACCTCATCCAGCTGGCTCTGTGTGTTTATCAGCAAGAATATTGGCATTGTGAAAAGAGTAAAGAGAAGCTACGGAATTAGGTCTAAAGCATAGCAGTGGCCTATATGAAGATTAAAAGATTAGGTTGAATTACTGTGAGTAGTATTCTAAAACTGAAATCCTTTTCAAGTCATTGATTGGCTGGAGGAATGTCACACGGCTGCTGGTGTTTTCCACGGATGCTGGGTTTCACTTCGCTGGAGATGGGAAACTTGGTGGCATTGTTTTGCCAAATGATGGACAGTGTCACCTGGAAAATGACGTGTACACAATGAGCCATTATTACGTAAGTGCTGAATTCCTTTCATATTGAAAGGACTCCTATTGAAAATTCAGTATTGAAGGTGACTGGCTTGTGGGTTTTTCAGGCTTGGTGTTTTGCTATTTTGGTAAGTATGGGCCCTAACCTAATGTGTAGGAGAGCTGGTCTCACTGTTTGTGAAGATGTGGCTGCTTGCTTCTTACTTCTGCTTAGACAGGGCCTCAGTCAGGTGGAATGCCCTCAGACACCTGCTCCATGTCTCACCCCAGAGCTGTGTACCCTCTTATTCGTTACACTGTTTGGTAGTAATTGTGATACTATTTCTAAATAAATGTTTGTATAATCTTAGCACTTCTCATGTTATTCATAGGGGATTTTTAAAAGGAGGCACCCTGCCTCTACTTAAAGTAAATATTGGCAAATTATTCAAGTTCTGAAGAAATCTGAACCTTGGTGATTCTTGATCATTTTCTTCAGTGATACATAATACAACCTTTAATTACTGGAAATTCTTTAATTTTTTTTGACATTTAATATACAAAGATCTTTTTTAAACTTTTTTATTATGGAAATTTGTATACATAAAGAATAAAAAAGGATTAGAAAGCGACATGTACACACCACTCGAGTATTTATTTGTGTTATTTCAAGTGATCTTGTATTAAGCAACCCAGTTGTATACATAATTGTTATTAATTACAAGAAGTATTGCGAAACTGGAAGAGAGAGGGAGTAATTACATAATTTTACTACTTATTTTCTTAGGATTATCCTTCTATTGCTCACCTTGTCCAGAAACTAAGTGAAAATAACATTCAGACGATTTTTGCAGTGACTGAAGAATTTCAGCCTGTTTACAAGGTAAATACATATGTGTGAGATAAAAGGAGCAAATTCTGGACCATTTTTGTTTAGTCATTAAAGGCAAAATCATATGTCAGAATTGAAATGTAAAAAAATGTCATCAGTCAGGCACACTGACTGGATTTTACAGAAACAATATTAATTTTTAATCACATATTATAAAACATTTTTTATTTTAAGTCTGACCCTTAAGTTATTTAGGAAATGTATAAGGAACTGTTATTTAAAAATAAGTATTAGGGTCTCAGTAGATGCTAATTAATCAAATGAATAGTTTTTGTATTTCATATGTTTTATCTTTGAATTGCAGGAACTGAAAAATTTAATCCCTAAGTCAGCAGTAGGAACATTATCAGCAAATTCCAGCAATGTTATTCAGTTGATCATTGATGCATACAATGTGAGTACATTTTAAATAAAACCTGTTTTAAACAATATCGTCTTGAGAATACTTTGCTCAAAGGAAGGTAAACTCCCTTAATAAGCAATTTAGCAAACCCAGAGGACAACGTAAAACTTAAATTCTTTATATCCAGAGGAAAAACTCATATCCTCTTATAAAAGCAGTTATTTACATAACCTAGACAAAGCAAAAATATGATAAAGACATATGGGGAAAATTTCTAAATATCTGTTTGAGTGTCATTAAGCAATAGGTCTCATTGTTCGAAGGCAATCGTGAAGTAGAACTTAAATTTAAACTTATAGGATTGCCTCAGTCTTCTTTTGCCTCTCCAAGGTATCCTTTGTAGATTTGTCTGTTTTAATGAATTATGCTGAAAAAGCTTTTTTGCCAATTCTTCTCTTGCTGTAATTCAGAGAACATAGTTCTCAATTCTCAGGAATAGAATACACACAACTCGTATATACATGTACTGAATATATACAAATGTAAATATATGTGACTTACATATTTTAAAAAGATGTTTTTCCCCCACACATGAAATTGAATCTAACTGAAAGAGGAATTGTTTTTTTCATCTAGCTTATTAATTCAGAGTATCTCTAGTGATACTTACAAAGCACTGGCAAATCATTATAAATAAGCTGAAGGCATTTGTAATATTGTGGTGACCATTATGTGCTGCATACACCACCTCCATCTTAATGACAGGTTGAATTTTAGATATTTTTACCTCATGACAGCTTGTTTTGGAGAGAGGTTTTATAAAGATTCCCATGTACCATGTCTTTCCCATAGCTGTTCTCTGTCTTATAGAATCTTTTAATGCTCCCCTAACTCCTGTCCATCAGGGGTGTGAGCAAGAGATCGCTGGCGCTACAGCCTTCCCTTCTGTGTTTGTCCTGACAGTCTGGTATTCCCAAGGCACTGGCTTGAATCCTTTCTACTTGGGGTTTTATTTTTTGGCCAGTGCTGTACTGGATTTGTTTCCAGACTATAGATTGTTTACCTTAGGCCCTAGTTATCTGGCAGTGGGAGGGAAAGAAGAGCCGGGCTGCCAATGGGGAGATAAACTCGTTGATATCATGCCTCTGTGCTGTTGGATCATTAATATTTTAGCTCAGTAATTAAAACACAAATACTCTTTCCAATTGTGTACATTATTTTGAAGAATTGATCCTTATTAATTAGAGCCTGTTTCTCTGGGTTCTGTGTTTTCCGGTCAACTCAGGATTTGGCTTCAAATGTTTAATTTAATTAGTGCCTTCTTAACAGTCCATTCAGCTTATTTTGTGTAGCGTGTTGTTTGCCTTTCCTGTGTCTAATAGTCTGTCTTTTAGTCCCTTTCCTCAGAAGTCATTTTGGAAAACAGCAAATTGCCAGAAGGAGTAACAATAAACTACAAATCTTACTGCAAGAATGGAGTGAACGGAACTGGAGAAAATGGGAGAAAATGCTCCAATATTTCCATTGGAGATGAGGTATGTTGTATAAACATTTTCTGAGGAAAAGAAAAAATATCGCTTGTTTATAGGCAATCTAATTTATAATTTGAGAGACAGTAAAAGAAATGAGTAGCTTTTGAAATATTTTTTAGCAGCTTTAAATTGCTTAGTTAGTTGTTAACTTAATCTGTTTTTTTGCCTTCAAGGTTCAGTTTGAAATTAGCATAACTTCAAACAAATGTCCGAATAAGAATTCTGAAACCATTAAAATTAAGCCTTTGGGCTTCACTGAAGAGGTAGAGATCATTCTTCAGTTCATCTGTGAGTGTGAGTGCCAAAGCGAAGGCATCCCCAGCAGTCCGAGGTGCCACGAGGGAAACGGGACCTTCGAGTGTGGAGCTTGCAGGTGAGCCTCTAGTCTTTCCAGAAGGACAGGGAGAGGCAGATTGGCTGAGGAGGTAATAGGCTACATTTTGAGGCATCCAGAGAAAATCTCTCTATTTAGAGCAGATGAATTGTTTGTTCCAACCGTTGTTGCCCATCACAAGATCCATTTGGTGATCTTGTGTGTGATATTTATAGAAAGTTCTTCCCTGCCTTTTTTTCTTTAGAAGAGTGCTCTCCTCTACAATAAAGCTTTTATAGTCATTCAGTATGTATTTTCAATGAACTGTTAAGGTAGCATTTGGGTTTTTTCTTTTAAGAATAGCAATCTGAATTCTATTCTCTATAGAGCTAAATAAGCTTATATAAAATATCTTTTATAGAAAAATGTTTTGGGAAAATAAGTCAAACTTAAAATGGTGATTTTATTTGGAAATGGAATTAGAAGGCAATAAAGGATGTTTACTTTGTACTACATGTGGTTTTTCATTGGGATAATTATTTTCAAATAAATATATTTATATATTTTGTAAGATAAAAAAGAAAACTTCAGAACATAGAATGTGCACACAGAACTCTATCAAATTATTTTAAATTCTATTTTCACATTGTAGTTACTTTTAATCGAAAATTTAATTTAATTAAAAATTAAAACTGAATATACTCTGAATACAGCTTTCTCCTTAAGAGTTAAGAGGAGAAGAGAGTCCTGATATAAATGTGAGCCTCAAATGACTAGGTTTTGAAAGGTTTTTAATCATGAGAAAAATAAGTGACTGTGTTTTGCCATCAGTTATTAACTCTTTATATTCTAAATAACAATTAAAATGTTACATATTTTATTTTCCATGTTGTACATATCCTGACTGAGTCATGTGGATCCATTCTTTGTAAAATATCATTTAAAAAGATTTCTTGAAAATTGCCTTCCTTCCCTTTTATATATTTATCAAATATAGACTTATAGTGTATCCAGTGTCTATAGGCATTCAGTGTTCCAAAAATATATAGTGTGTCTGAAAAGTCTGGTCCCATAGGATGAACTTATTTTTCAGCAGTATGTTATATTTTCAGTTGAAATGTTCAATATATTTTTCTTAAACTTCCATGCACTTTTGGGGTGTGTTTATTGTTCTTTTTTAGATTAACAATTGGACCATTGCTTTAAATTTAGAGATACTTTACTTATAATAGCAAATGTAATAGCAAATTTATCCTATGTTTCCAAATGTTTTGTTCACTTGTTCATTGCTAGGTTATATTTTTATCTTGATCAAAATGGTTATTTTCTAGAAGATTTTTTCCTTGGCCCTTGAATGTCTTCCGTGTGAACTTGAGTGGCTGGCGTGTGTGCACATGTACACTTTCGTACATGTCTGTGACGTGTGCTACAAGACACTGCTGTGTAGTTCACATGTAGTTTGAAGATAATTGTTCATAGTCCTATTTCCTCCTCCAGTTTTTCTCACAGCATGACTTGTTTTTTTAGATTACTTTTATTTCATGTGATTGAAATTTTTGACTTTTTCTTTAGGTGCAACGAGGGACGTGTTGGTAGACATTGTGAATGTAGCACAGATGAAGTTAGCAGTGAAGATATGGATGCTTACTGCAGGAAGGAAAACAGTTCAGAAATCTGCAGTAACAATGGGGAATGTGTCTGCGGACAGTGTGTTTGCAGGAAAAGGGATAATACAAATGAAATTTATTCTGGCAAATTCTGCGAGTGTGATAATTTCAATTGCGATAGATCCAATGGCTTGATTTGTGGAGGTGAGCAAAGGGTCTGAAAATGGTTGTAAGATGTGACCCATCTAATATAATAACAATGTTACGAGTTTGATGAATAAATAGAAAAAGAACAGTTCCACATTGTTGCTTATTTCTACTATTAAATCAATGCTGTGATTTTATATTTTTCCCATTGTTAAGAGAAAGGATGTTTTTCATTTCAGGAAATGGTGTTTGCAAGTGCCGTGTGTGTGAGTGCAACCCCAACTACACTGGCAGTGCTTGTGACTGCTCTTTGGATACGACCTCATGCCTGGCCATCAACGGGCAAATCTGCAATGGCCGCGGCATCTGTGAGTGTGGTGCCTGCAAGTGTACAGACCCAAAGTTTCAGGGGCCAACCTGTGAGATGTGTCAGACCTGCCTTGGCGTCTGTGCAGAGCATAAGTGAGTGCTCCTGCTTGCCCAAATTAGCTGACATTTATCGTCTGCTGACCTACCAGCACAGTGCTGATATTAGGGTATACTGTAAAGAAAGTATCAGCCACACTGAAGCCCACTCTGAATCTTAAAAATTCTTTCTCAGTAGCTAGAGTTTGTCACATGATACTGAAATGTGTTGTGTGAAAGTTGGTACCACTATTGTGTGTGCATTTGCTATAGAATTGAATCTATGTGATAACCTTTGTTAAATTAGTATTACCAATTGCTTAATTACCATCTTTTGACTAAACTAAGCAAAATAGAAAGTTTTTCCCCTTGAATTATTATTGTACCAACAATACATAAATTACTTGGGTTTTATGTTATATATTTATAATACCTGACAGGGCTATTTTACTACTTTATTTTACTATTGTATTTCTTTTTTTGGGATTTTTAGTTTGATCTGTAATAATCTCATTTCACTTGGGAAAATAGCATCTTTATATTTAGTTTCCCATCTAGGAATGTTGTGGGCCACTCCATTTATTCAAATCTTCTTTCATAGCTCTTGGTTTAATTTGGTCAGATTTTTAGTCTAGCATATGAAATAACTTTTAAGCAAATATTTATTTTAAATGATAAATTTTAATTGTACCATCTGTGTTTTGACAGAGAATGTGTTCAGTGCAGAGCCTTCAATAAAGGAGAAAAGAAAGACACATGTGCACAGGAATGCTCACATTTCAACATTACAAAGGTTGAAAATCGGGACAAATTACCCCAGCCAGGCCAGGTTGATCCTCTGTCCCATTGTAAGGAGAAGGATGTTGATGATTGCTGGTTTTATTTCACATATTCCGTGAATGGGAACAATGAGGCCATTGTTCACGTTGTGGAGACACCAGGTAGAAATCTGATCATTTCAAAATTTTGTTCATTTTCTCTATGTCTTGTTTCTGCTGCTTAGGCCTATTGGGAGTTTCCCCAGTAATTCAGGAATGGCCTTAAGGTGGATTATTTTAGGTTCAAGTTAGGACCTTTTTAATTTCTGAAAGCTTGAAGTAGTATTTCATTTACTATATGAGAAATAAGGAAAAGGGAAAGCAAGCTTTAACTTTTATGAGTGAAGAGTTTGCAGAGTAAATGCAGTAATCCGCACAGAGCCCTTAGCACACAGTGCCTGACTCTTGGGTACTTGATGAGAGTTACAGCATTACTCATGATACTTAAATTTGAGCTTGACTTAGGTGGGACACTGGGAATGTTAATTTGTTAGAGGATATAAAAAGTGAATTTGTTCAGCTTCTCAGAAGATGAAACATTTTTTTATCTTGGAATCTAGGCTCTTTTTTTGTAATCTTTGAAATTTTCTACATTTGTGTACATGTTTTTGTGGGAATGCAAGTTTTCATTTTTCTCGTGTAAATATTAGGAATGGATTTGGGGGGCATATGGTAAACATGTTAACTTCATAAACAGCTGAACTTTTTTTAAAAGTCTGTGTGCTGTTTTGCATTGTCAGGTACGTGTTTTTGCAAATACCATCTCTCGGTCTTTTCATTTTCTTAACAGTGTTTTTTAAAGACCAGAAGCTTTAATTCTGGTGAACTGTAGTTTACCAAGTTTTTCTTTTATGGATCTTGCTTTTCTGTGGTATTTAAGAACTCTTTGCCTAACTCAAGTTCATAAGGATTTTTCTTCTGTGTTTTAGAGTTCCTTCTTTTCCATTTAGATCTATAACGCATTTTTAGTTAATCTTAGTATACAGAATAAGGTTCACTTTTTTCCAGGTGGATGTTCAGTAGTAGTTCAGCACCATTAGTTGAAAGACTGATCTTTCTCCACCTTTGCTGAAAATCAGAAGACCTTAATATGTGTGGGCCTATTTTGAGTCTTTAGTCTATTTCATTAATCTATGCATCTGTCATTAGCCAATACCACATTGTCTCAATTACTGTTGCTTTAGAGCTAGTCTTGAAATCTGGTAATATAAAATGTCCATATTAGTTCTTTTCCAAAAGTGTTTTAAAAATACTTTCCTACTTTTCTGCCTGCTGACACCTACAAAAGTCCTGCCAGGATTGTGACTGGAATTGCATTGTGGTTATAGGTCAAACTGAAAAGAATTGATGACAATATTGAGTCTTCCAGTCCACGAACATGGAATATCTCTCCATTTATTAAGTTCTTTGCTTTCTTTCATCAGTGTTTAGTAATTTTTAGCATGAAAATCTTGCACATATTTATTAGATTTATACACAACTATTTCATGATTCTTGTTGCAATTGTAGAGGATAATATATTTTACATTTCAATTTCCAGTATGTAGAAATAAATTTCTGTATAATACATAGAAATACATAATGATATTTTTTGTATCTTGTGTTGTCCTGTGGTTTTGTAAACTCATTTGTTAGTTCTAGCATCTTTTTTATAGATCCTTTGGGATAGTGTACATTCACTTATCTTGGGTTTTTATTCCTATGTTTTCTTAATGAGGGACTGTCTGGCTCTGGATAATTTTGGCTGCCCTTTGCACTTATTAATCCCTTGTATACTCATTCTTTCCTTCTTCCTTTACAGAATGCCCCACTGGTCCAGACATCATTCCAATTGTAGCTGGTGTGGTTGCTGGAATTGTTCTTATTGGCCTTGCATTGCTGCTCATTTGGAAGCTTTTAATGATAATTCATGACAGAAGGGAATTTGCCAAATTTGAAAAGGAAAAGATGAATGCCAAATGGGACACGGTAAGTTGCAAAACATCTAAAAAGTAAGATGGCTCATAAAGTAAATGTGATACTTGTAAGACTTGCTTATTAACTGTAGAACTGATTATGAGAGTCCTCTTTAAATATTTTATTCCCCCAGAAGTTCATTATTCACAGAACTTGTATATTATAAAAACAGAAATATGTTAAATATATCCCAATAAAACAAAACAGTATAAGTATCTTCTTGTTACTGTGAACATTTTGATCCTTAATAATTTTGATCCTTATTAAATCTGCTCTTCTGCTCTTCGTCTCATGTAAAATAGACTCCTCAGTAATGCTAGTGTGTAGTGAGCTATTCAGTGGAAAGCTTCTCCCTCTCTCTTTTTCCAACAAAGAACCTGAGAAGTAGCCAGACTCAGAAGGCTGCATATACTGCATGAGGCTATACATACTGAATGATTCCATTTGTATGACATTGTAGAAAAGGCAAAAAAAACTCTTGGGGCAGAAATGTGATCACTGGTTCCCAGAGGCTGGGGTTGGGAGGCAAGGGACATGAGGGATCTTCTTGATTGTGGGGGGATGTTTATTCATTTCTGAATTCTGAACTCTGTACTTAAAAAGAGTATATTTGACTCTCTGCAAATTATAACTCAATAAACCCTGCTTTATAAGAAGTTTTAAAAGCTGTTAAGTGACTAAAATGTGTGCTGGCATTTGACCTAGCAGTCAGGGTGAGCTGGCCAGATGTTGGTTCTCACCTACTCATCTTTTGTTACAAGAAAGCGGTGGCAGTCTTTGGTATTTTAAAATTATAAATGAACTTCAGTTATTTGTATTTTGCAACAATTTGCTTGAGTCTTTTAAAAAATTAATTTCAGAAGTGTGAAAATAGTCAAATAGTAAAAAATTCTCTGTTATAGTGTTTAAACACTATACATGTCAATTTTTTTTTTCTGATGAAATCATTAGAAACTATTTCTTTTACTTTAGCAAGAAAATCCGATTTACAGGAGTCCTATTAATAATTTCAAGAATCCAAACTATGGACGTAAAGCTGGTCTCTAAGTTGCCGTTCGTATTTTCTTTCATTTTCTGTCTTTGCATGTGAACTTTTACCCTTTTTTACTGCACTGCGTGTCCTTTATCACTATAGCTTTTTTTTAAAAGTCTGGCTTTATTTATATGGCTATATTATGGCTTTTATTTTTGTGTGCTAATTTAGCATTTATAAGAGCTTCAAATAAGCTTAATGATAAAGACGAAGCAGCTGTGTTACAGTGAAAAGAGAATCTGCTATGTGGCCAGACAGACCTAGGATCACATCCCAGCTCTTCTGCTTAGTGAGTAGAACAGCAGAGAGTCACTGCACTTTCTGGGAGCTTTAGTATTTCATATCTTTAATAGGGAGTCAGAAATAATACATAGGTATGGTGTGGTTGTTTTTGGCGAATGAGCTACAGTGTATGATATCAGCCCATCAGTTATAATCCTCACTACAGTCCTAAGCCTTTAGATGGTATTATCTTTATATGACAAATTACTGTATGTAAGTTTTAGGGTGAAATAGTGGCAAGTGAATGTGAATCTAAATTGCAAATAGAAAAATTAATGTAACCTGGCATAACATTTGTATAATACACAGCTACAATGAAGTTTTATTAGTTCTAGAAATATTTTGAGATTCTTTAGTTCTTGATTGTAATTTGAAATGCCATTAAAGCAAGGAGACCTTTTATTTTTATATATTTGTATATATTTTCATGTTATTGAATGATTCTAATAGATCTAATGTTGAACTTGTTTTTAAAGATAACAGAAACTTTAAAGAGAAAAGTTCTAGTAGAGTTTTAAATAAATCTTAGTAGAAAATTCCCTAGTTGTAGTAAGACTTTTGATTATCCTATTCCTGAAGCCAGGGTAAACCATTTTGGTGAATGTATGTTTCACCTAGTTGACAAATTTACTTTATCTTTTTTGTCGATAGTGGACAGGATTCCTCTTTATATCTGAATTTTCATGAAGTGCTAGAAGCATATTTTAAAATAATCATATAAGCCCCTAAAAATCCCTGACTAAAAATAGGCTATGATTAGAACAAATTGTCCCAGTGATCAGAATTCTTCCCTTTACTTTTATTTTTATTTCACATATGAGAAAACTAAGGCACAGAAGGGTAAGCTTAACTTGACCAAGTTCACATGGCTAGTTAGTGGGAGAGTTCAGATTCTAACTGGCAGTTGGACCCCAGCCTCCATGTGCTTCTCCATACAATGTACTGATAACAGCTGTATCTTCTTCAGGAGACTCTCTCACCTGGTTAGGAAGCGGTAGCTTACTCTTTCTAGAAAATTACAGCTTTTGGATATCTGTTGTGACTTGGAGTAACACTGCTGTGTTGGGCAAACATTGTAATGGGAAATCACTATTACATAGAAACCAGCACTGCAGTTCTCTATATTTACTCTGTTAGGAGTGTACTTTATCAAGTAACAACAAACAGGATCTTAAAACAGAGGAATGTGTAATATTTTCATTATTTTTAAGAGATACAGGAAGTATTGATAACATTAGAAAACCATTAGTTGCCAGGTTTTTCATTTCTAAGCAGATATTAAGACTTTTGAAATGACAGAGTTAAATTTGATGGCAGAAGATTACAGTCAGGTTCATATAGGGTTGGTACATTTCATATTAGTGGGAGACCTGACACGTTTTTCTCTTTCTCACCTAATACTTTCTAGAAAGTATTTTTAGAAAGAAACTGAGTTGCTGGGATTTGTTTCTTTCTTTCCCTTTTTTTTTTGTGCAGGGGAGTTGGGGAGTGTCAAAAACAATTAAATACTGAAAATTTCATATAGCTACTTCTCATACAAGATACATTTCTATATGTCCTGTCAAAATTTGCTGTACATTAAATTGTACCTTGAAAGAAATTATCAGTAATTGATGGTGAAACAATGTTTACATTGTTAACTAAATTTTTGGCTGAAATGTTACTACTTCATCCAAAATAAGCATTTTGAATAGTTCAAGAAGCAAAAGTTTGATAAAAATTTATTTATTCTTTAGTGAAATACAGGGAAATTAATGGCTACAGGTCATTCTGCGATGTTTTCTCAAGAGAAAGTAAAATAGAAATAAACAAGAAATTAATGATGAGCATCAAGAAATTAAAATATGGCTTATAAAGAAAGCACTTTGTGATATGGGACTAAGTTTTATCAATCATATGTCATTAACATTTCGGATAATGAGCGGGCCCTGTAATTACTTCAGCATTAAGGCCATCGTGTAGGTACATTTAAAAAAGATCAATTTTACAATTGTTACAATGGATTGAAAGAATTGTCTATCCTCCCTGCTCTTACGCAGATTTAAATGTGGATTCCTAATCTCGCACAGTTGTGCATTGTGTCTAATATAGAGGTGATTGTTTAGCCACCATTATCAGCCATTCCAGAGCGAGCGAAAGGAGGACACCTGAGTAGAGAAGATTTCATTTCTGAACCAAATAACCCTGTTCTCTCGATTTCCGTAGGCTTTGCTTTCTGTTGGGATGAGAATTGCACTTTGAACAATGAAATCTAACTGAATTATTTTAGTTTACCTCCATTTAAAATGATGCCTAACACAGTTTAATTTTACCTCTAACCTTGCATGTTACATTTTTGTTTGGATGGACTTTGAAATAATAAATATAAATGTTTGTGTATATGCAAAGGCAGACTTTTCTCCAAAGGTAAGTTCTGCCATATAAATTGAACTCATCAATAACTTAGGTATTTTTTTTCTTCCTTTGTTTTCTGTTTTGTTTATTTTGTACCACCTTTATATTTGTTAAGTATTAAATATTAGATTTATTTAATGCATTGTTTTAAAGAAACTTAACAGTAATTTATTTTCCCAGTATATTTTAAGGAATGGTCAGTGCTGGCCTCATGTGCAGATCGGGAGGGTGGAAATAGAGTGTAACTTACTTGTGTTATACAGCCTATTAAAAATGTAGTTGCTAGGGTCCAGTTTCCTGTCTCCATTCTGAAATGTCTATTCTGTCTGTATAAATATACTAGCTCCAGTTGGGATTAGAGCTTAGAATATGGCATCCTGTATGATTTTTATCTTGCAGCTTATATAATGTTTATCTCTAAGGGATCCTGAGTGTTTCTGAAATGGAGTCAGGTTGTATTTTGTGGGGTGGACTAAGGCATATTATCATGTTGAGTTGTCTGCTGCTGAGCTGAAATGATAGTGGTGTATTTGTTGTCTGTCAGACCCAGGCCTTGTGTGATACTTTTCCCCAGTAATCTACCATCCACAGGGTAACGTTCAGTCTGTGTATGTGGCAGGACCTTTTGTGGCTTGGCTTTGTCTTCTTCTCGTTTCCTTTCCCTTCCCAACACCTCAAACTCTCACACAGCTCCCTTAAAAACTTCTGAAATGCATAGTTCTAGATAAAATGAGTCATTTTTTTTCCTACATTTTGACTTTTTGTACGTTTGTTTACCTTTATTTTATTTAGTTTCACTATGAAAATACCCCTAATCTTGTCAAAGTCAATCCTTTTATTATGCTGTTACAATCTTATGTACATAATTATACTTTGTACTGTATCAAAGTGCCTTAATTAATTTTCACATTTGCCAACCACCAAATTATGCCTCTGAGAGAACAGAAATCGTGGCAATAGAAGTCAGATCCCAATAATCTGCAGTGAAGTGCAAATAACATTTAAAAGCAAAAATTACTGTTTGGATGCTTTCTATAGATATTTTTAAAAATCACCCAAATGGCTATATAGTGAGAAACTAAACAATGTTTCAAAATAACTTAATGTTTTAAGTTTTCATTTAATAGTTATTTGATTTGATTTGTTCTCACTGTAAAGGATTATTTGGCCATATTTCTCACTTGGCTTTCAAGCCTTCTTTCATTTTATAAGAACAGGAGAAAAAATAATATGATAGCAGATACTTAAATGTATTACTTGGCATAAGAGAATTTTGTAAGAAATGGTAAATATGGTATTGTATGTTATTTTCCTGCTTAAAACATCACTATCAGTATGTTTAGATCTTGAAAGATCTCCACGTTTATGACTTGGAGTCATTTATGGGACTTGATTGCAATACTGTTCACTAAATTATAGCACTGCAATAAAAATAAAACATTTTGCCAGTACAGTGTTGATGGATAACAATCATTTCATGAAGAATGGAAATTATTTTTGTTGACATTCTAAGCACTCTGGGCAATGTGATGACTTGGTGGAAGCACAGTGCCACCTGTGACACGGTGGGCCATCCCCAGACTCTCTTACTCAACCAGGTTGCGGGACAGCCTCCGGGGAACACCTCCCCAGGATTCCCTTAGGTATCAGTCACCTTCTGTGCACAGTAAAGTTAAGGATCAGGCAGTTGATGGCAAAAGAGTTAACTTCTTCTGCAAGACAGGCATTTAAAATCCAAAGGAGAAAAGAGTAATGACACATTCTCTGCCATGGAGGATCTTAAATCCGCCCTCCAAAGGAGGAAGGACTCAAGCATGAAGTAATTCAAGGGGCACAGGGGCACCTTTAGACATAGAGCAAAGCTTTAATTTTTTCATTTTTGTTTAAACTTTCATTAAATGCCTTTTAAAAAATTGTGTGATATCAGGACAGATAAAATGGAAATGACTTCTGAAAATGAGTAACTTTCAATATTGTTTTATAAAATAATACATGATTTTAGTAGAGTAACTGACAGCTTTTCTCCCTTTCTTTTAGGGTGAGAATCCTATTTATAAGAGTGCCGTGACGACTGTTGTCAATCCGAAGTACGAGGGAAAATGAGCACTACCTGTGCGGATGTCACCACACTGAGTGCAAACTAGTAGTCCTTGTAGCCACAGTAAAGTAGCTTTAGGGTCCGCACCACCATGGTCTTACTCATCTGTAGGTTTTGAAAATGTACAATATGTATAATTTAAAATTTTTTTATTATTTTGAAAATAATGTTATGATCCATGCCAGGGACTGACAAAAGACTTGAGACAGGATGGTTATCCTTGTCAGCTAAGGTCACATTGTGCCTTTTTGACTTTTTCCTCCTGAACTATTGAAACCAAGCTCTTTGGATTAAGCAGTTTTCTAGAGTGACTGAAAGGGTAGTTAAGGAGTATGATGAGAGTTTCTATTCATCATGTATTAAAACTGATTGATAGCTTTACAGATACATCAGGTTTCAGTTGTACAGAATCCAAAGTATATGTCCTACTAGCTAGTTTAGAATTATTTTAAATTTGTTGTTTTGCTCTTTGCCTGGTAGACTGACTGATGACATCTGAAAGATGAATGTTAGGAGTTATTGGTGTGAAATAGTTTTGAAATATTTGAACTACAGTCAGGCCATGGGAAAAGAGTTAGGAAGGGAAAACATAGCTTTAAAACCTGTGTGCCATTTTAAGAGTTACTTAATCTTGGTAACTTTTATGCCTTCTCTTTATAAATTCCAGCCTTGGATAAAAGTATTGGGAATTTTCTGCAAAAGAGTCCTTGATTTAGCATTATTTACATAAATGCCTTAATTTGCATATTTGCTGAATGGGGGACCTTTGGGTGAATTTATGTTACTCATTTTGTTTAAAGCCAGGTGCTTTTTATCACTCTTCTAATCATTTAATGTATTTGTTTGCAATTTGGGGGTAAGATGTTTTTTATCAGTACTTTGTCTCTGATGTTGTGGCTGTAAATTTGCCTTTTTAACTGACATGTAAAGTCATCCTGCGGCCTGTGCAGCAGCCCTCCCTGCAGCTGATGCGAGGGTGACCGCTGTGTATTTCCTTCTGGCTGTTCAAGTTGCCTGTTTTGTTTGATACTAGTCACATTCTTGTTTTAAGTGCCTTTTAATTTTAACAGTTCACTTTTTACAATGCTGTTTACTGAAGTTATTTATTAAATAAAAATGCCTAAAATATTTCAATTGGATGTTTTTATTCTATGTTGATATGTTTTGTCAGTTTGTGTGCATGGAATTTTTATAGTTCAAAGAAGTTAACTAAAACATTTCTGGTTAATGAATATTTCACTTAAGAAGCTAAAATATATTTCTTTAAAAAAAGATGTGTGAGGGGCATAAGGAAAGTGTTATGATAAAGTAGATTTTCAGACTGTCTTTGGGCTCTCTAAATAATGTTGGAGAAATCCTCATTTCCCTCCCCGATCCTCTCACTTCACTCAAGGAGATAGATTTCATTCCCACATTAAGCGGATTTCATTCCCACATTAAGTGGCATAAACTCTTCATGAACATCATTTTGGACCTGTTACCTAGAAGCTGAAAATTACATCATTTTATTTAAGATACAGACAGGGGATTGTTACTCTTCTGACAAGGAAAATTTTATTTTCATTTGGTTTTTGTTTATTTATGTTAGAAAGTATATATATCCATAAAAAATAGAACAAATATCAGAAAGATTTGGTGTTAAAAGTTCAATTTCACCAGCCTCTCACATTTATAGTGCCCCTCCCATCTTTATAAATCAGTATCTGGTTTACTTATTCTACTTAAAAGTACTTGCTAGCTTAGACTAGATCTGCTTTCAGTTTAGAATAATACTTAACTAGTTAGTTGTAAGCTCCGTGAGAAAAATCATCTTGTTCACTTATGACTGCATTTCACTCAGTGTCATATCCCACTTCCTACCTTATGTACTCAGCTCATTCCCTTATTCCTGAGGCATGATCCACTGAATTGATTACATATTTCTCCTGAAGTTTGTTTTTATAATGAGATTTTTAGTAAATATAGGAATGAAGTATATTTTCTATGTATAATGATATTTTTGCTGACATGCATCCTTGAGGCTGAAGTATTGTGAGTGTTTGGATGTATTGACTATAGAAATCCTTTTATTTGGAAGCTGGAGAAATTGTACAGAGCTTATTTTTCATGCTGATTCTAAAAGCATTGAAAAATTTTAGATTTAAATTGGCAATTTCAAAATACGGTCTCAGATTAATACTTAGCTTTGATTGAAGCCACATAGAACTTTATTTCAGTAAACTATTTATTTTCTTAAGGACAGTTTATTTTGACCTTCAGTGAAATGCTTTCCAAAAAATAAGAGCCTTAAAAGTAAAGTAATAGGGACAAGGTATTTTTTTTTCATTCAAACTCTATATTATAAAAATTTACAAAATGTTAGGTATCATACATTGTTTGGTCAGTGTCAAGTGCAAATAAGTAATGGCATTTTTTTTGCAGTGATTTCCTGACATACTGTAGTTTTCTTATTCCTTGGCAAAGTATAACTTTATGAATTTCTTTGATAACGATGCCCATATAAGACTTTGAGCTACAAAACAGGTACTACTTAAAAAATCACTGTAGTCACCTTTTTGTTTTAACCTGGAATTTAACTTGTGTCTGTTAACAGATTAATGGATACACAAAATGTAGTACCCACAATCAATGGAAAATTATTTAGCCATAAAAATATAGCAAGTTCAGATACAAGCTGTGACACTGATGAACCTTGAAAATGTGCTCAATGAAATAAGCCTGCCATAAAGGACAAATATTGTATATTTCCACTTATATGAGATATCTTGACTTTGTAAATTCACAGAGACAAAATAGATGAGAGGTTGCCAGGAGCTGGGGGAAATGGAGAGAGATTGCTAATGGTTATGGAGACTGGAATGATGAAAATTTCAGAAAATAGTGGTGATGGTTGCACAGACATTGAATGAAATTTTTTCTGTGTAATTTTTTCACTTTTAATTTTTTCAGCTTTACTGAGATAGTTGACATGACATTGTGTAAGTTTAAGCTGTGTAACTGGTTTTACTTATGTATGTATGTTGCAAGATTATTAGCACAATAAAGTTAAAGTTAACATGTTCATCACGTCACATAGTTACAATTTCTTTATTAATGTGGTAAGAACTTTTAAAATCTTAAACAACTTTCAAATATACAATGTAGTATTGTTAACTATAGTCACCAGGATGTACATTACACTCTCACAACTTACTCATCTTTTCACTGGAAGTGTGTACCCTTTGGCCATCGTTACCCATTGCCCTCACCCAACCTCCCACCTCTAGCAACCACCAATGTCTTTTCTATGAATTGATTTTTTTACATTATATGTATAAGTGAGATCATACAGTATTTGTCTTTCTCTGACTTACTTCACTTAGCATAATGCTCTCCATGAAATTTGATACATGTTGCAAATGTCAGGACTTCTGTTTTATGGCTGAATAACATAACTTTGTGTATATATATGTATATATATATGCCGCATTATCTGTACCCATTCATCTGTTAGTGGACAATCAGGTTGTTTCCATGTCTTGGCTATTGATAAATAGTGCTGTAGTGAAAATAGAGGTGGCCATACCTTTGAAGATAATCTCATTTCCTTCAAGTAAATACCTGAAAGTGGAATTGTTGGGTCCCATGGTATTTCTATTTTTTAATTTTTTGAGATACCTCCATACTGTTTACCATAGTAGGTGTGCCAATTTACATTTCCACTAGTAGTATGCAAAGATTCCCATTTCTCCATATCCTCACCAGCACTCATTACCTTTTGTCTTTTTGAGAATAACCAGGCTAACAGGTGTGAGATGATACCTACCTCATGGTTTTGATTTGCATTTTCCTGATGATTAGTCATGTCATCCACATTTTCATGTATGGCCATTTGGATATATTTTCTTTGGAAAAATGTGTATTCAGGTATTTTGCTCATTCTTAATTGGATTATTTTTTACTTTTATATATTTTGTTATTGTATAAAATTACATATTTTTTATATATTGTCATGAGTTCTTTATACAATTTGGGTATTAACTGTTTATCAGATAAGTGGCTTATAAATATTTTCTCTAATTTCATAGGTTGCCCTTTCATTTTGTTGCTCATATCTTTTGCTGTACAGAAGCTTTTTAGTTTGATGTAGTCCCACTTGATTTTGCTTTTGTTGCTTGTACTTTAGGTGTCATATCCAAAATATCATCGCCAAGGTCAACGTTGAGGAGCTTTTCCCTTGTTTTCTTCTAGTTCTTTGCTTAAGGTCTTACATTCACATCCTTAATCCATTTCAAGTTAATTTTTCAGTGGTGGAAGGAAGATAAGGGCCCAGTTTCATCCTTTGTCTGAGAATATCCAGTTTTTCTATCACCATTTATTTAAGATACTGTTTTATCCATTGACTGTTCCCAGCTTTCTTGCCAAATAATAGTTGACAGTATATGTGAAGATTTATTTGTGGGCTCTTTATTCTGTTTGTTGTTATACATGTCTGGTTTTATGCCAGTACAATCCCGTTTGGAATCCTGTAGCTTTATCATATACAGTCAACCCATGAACAACATTGGTTTCAACTGTGTGGGTCCACTTATATTTTTAAATAAATATGCTGGAAAATATTTTGGATATTTGCAACAGTTTGAATCATAGATGACCTGTGTAGTCTGGAAATAATGAAAAAAAATTAAGGAAAAGGTATGTCATGAATCCATAAAATATATGTAGACACTAGTTTATCATTTACTACCATAAAATATACACAAATATAAAGAAAGCATCAAGACTTAGGCACACAGACTGTATGTGGTGCCATTCACAGTTCAGAGGAATGTAAATGAAAGTAAAGACTGTTAAATCATAACTGCATTTTAACTAGTAAAGTTAACTAGTAAATTCTGTGCTACTGTGCTACTGCAGTATTTTCATACCTACCTCCTGTTATTGCAGTGAGCTCAGGTGTTGTGAGTAGCCACTTAAAATGCCTTGTGACGCTTATCATCTCCATGGGAGCAGCTCATCTCTAGTAAATTGAATACTGCAGTAGGAAGTGATCTCTTGCAGTTCTTGAGTGCTTTTCATTGTGTTTAGCGCAATTCTGTAAACCTTGAATAACACCATGGGACCCATATGAAGTGCCAGTAGTTGAAATGCTCCCAAGAAGCAGAGAAAAGTTGCAATGTTACAAGAAAAAGTTTAATTGCTTGGTGTGTACTGTAGATTGAGGTCACTATGGTTGCCCACCATTTCAAGTAAATGAATCTACCATAAGGACCACTGTAAAAAAAAAATTCTGAAGCCATTGCTGCAGCTACATTATGTGTGAAAACCTTACACCTTTTGCAAAATACTTTATCTCATATTGTAAATGAATCTTGAATATGAGTGTAGGATTGCTCTAAGAAAGGCATACCTACACACTAACATGATTCACGCAAAAGCACTCATATTACAACTTAAAAGGAAGGCAAATGATCTACAGCTGGGGAATTTAATGCCAGCAAAGGATGGTTTGATAATTTTAGAAAGAGGTTTGGCTTTAAAGGTGTCAAATAAGAGAAGTAGCTTCTGACTAAGTAAGGCAGCAGACAGTTCCCTTATGCCATTAAGAAAGTCATTGAGGGGAAAGGGTATCTGTTGAGCAGGTTTTTAATGCAGATGAAAGTGCTCTGTTATGGGGGGGAGGGGAATGCCACAAACGACAGTTATAGGAAGAGAAGCAAGCACTAGGATTCAAGGCAGGAAGGGATAGGCTAACTACTGTTTTGTGCAAATGCAGTCAGGTTTATGATCAGGACTGCCCTTATCTGTAAAGCTGCTAACCCTCAAGTCTTGAAGGGAAAAGATAAAAATGGCTGCTAGTCGTGGTTATACAACAAGAAGGCCTGAATAATAACTTTCCTGTATTGGTTCCTGAGTTCAGGAGGTACCTTACCAGTAAGGGACTACCTTTTAAAGTTGTTTCAATACTGAACAAGGGCCCTGGCCACCTCATGTTTAACAATGAAAGCATCGAAGTAGTCTACTTGGCCCATAAACCCAGTGTCTCTAATTCAGCATCTAGATCAGGGATCATAGGACTTTTAAGGCTCATTATATAAGGTAATCTATGAAAGGATCATCAATGCTATGGAAGAAAAAGCTAATAAAGAGAACAT